CTGCCTCCCCGCCCCCATTTGCCCCCCCGCCCCGCCCCGTCACATCCCCGCGGTTCTCAGAACTCGCCGGCGCCGCCGAGAAGAGGCACCGGGGTCCCTGGGCGCGCGCGGGGCGCTTTCCACTGCGGCCGCCGTTTCCTGAAAGTGACTCTGCGCGGGTTTTGAAGAACTTGCTCAACGCACTTTGAAGAATCAACTGTTCCTCTTTCAGCGGAGGGGTGTTCTGATCCTTCGGCGGTTACCGGCTTCCCGCCCCCTACCCTTTCTCTTTCTCTTTTCTCTTCCCTTTTCTCTTTTCCTCTCCGTTCTCTCTTATTCTTGTCTCCTGTCCATCCTCTTCTGCCCCTGGCGGGAAAGAAGTAGATTCCCTCTTTGCTGTCGTCTTCTTTCTTCTCTTTCCTCGGGTCTCCAGAAGGGACAGGGTGGCGGCCCCTGGAGTGATGGGGATTGAGAGTTGAAGCTCAGGTTGCGAGTGTGCGAGGAGAGATGTTTGGCTTCGCGCTCGGCCGGCCGGAGCTGCGGAGTGGCCTCATCTCGGTCCCTCCGCAGAGTGTCCCGGGGTGGGGGGGGGGTGGCCTCAGGCGGGATTCAGGTCCCCCAGCCCCGCCGACGTGGGTGGGAGGGTGGCGGGGCTTTCCAGGCGCCGGACCGCGAGGGCTCAGGGTGCGGGTCCGGGGGCAGGCACTGCGCTGGCCGGGCCCAGCGGCCCTTTGTTTGCGGGGTGGTTTGCCGGCCGGGAGGAGTCTGCGGGGCCAAGGGGAGGCCAACAGGTGCTTCCCGCGCCCTCCGGAGGACCACTGTTGGGGGTGTCAGCGTCTCTACGCCTACATGCCCGCGGCGGCAAAGGAGGGGTGGGAGATTGGTGGCTACAGAGTCTGGCCCCAGAGAGTGGAGTTCCAGACCCAGAACCTTGGGCACCCGCCTGGGGCTAGAACTCGGAGTGGCAGAGGTAGGAAGGACCTCAGAGGATCAGGCCCTCTTTCTCTGATATCCATTCAGAGAAACTGAGGCTCAGAGTGAGGTCTGGCAGTGAGAGAGGCAGGCCTCCAACACCTCTCCCCTCCCTCTTGCTTTCCTGTTACCTGGTGGTAAACTGGCCAGGTACTGCCCACACTCCCTGGTGGGCCCCGGGGGTCTCCGGGTGTGGGGGGGGGGGGGGGGGGGGGGGAAAGCAGTAGGCGGTGGAGTGCCCCGGGCAGGAGTTAGGCAGCACCCTCCCTCCCTGGCTGTGTCTCTACTCTTGGGCCATGTTTTGGACAAGCCACGGTGGATTGGGAACACGGAATATAGTTCATGGGGACATAGGAAACCATCCATAGGTGAACTGTTACTGTTACTAATACCTCCCAGACTTGGAGAGACAGGACAGTGGGGAGCCTAGTCTGGAATAGGGTCTTTTAGGACATACCAGAGCTGGCAAAAGGGGGACAGGCATCCCAGTGGAATTAGGAGATGGTAGTCTTACATTTGGAGACCCCATGCCCCCTCCCTTTCTATATTCCTCTCAAGACTGTCATCTTGGCCCCTGCTGCCTCAAACCCTGTGTCCCCCTTGCCCTGGCTGGGACACTGAGGCAGGGCTGGGGCAGAAGCTGGACCCTGTGCCTTCAGGGGTCCCATGTCCTGCTCGGCTGTCCTCAGTGCTGGCTGGAGCACAGCCCCTTGCAGCTCCTCCCTCCCCAAACTGCCCACTGGAGAGAGCTCCACGCCGAGCCTCCTCTGCCAGGCAGCTGGCTCCTGGGCCACAGAGAGAGGACGGGCCGCCTCAAAGGCTGTCTTTGTTTCAGCTCCGGCTCAAACTAAGAGAAACTTAAGCCAACAACCTCGGGCGAGGTGGGGCCGTTTCTGCTGGTTGTTATTGGGACTGCCGTTACCATTATTGTCGTAATTGACGCAGTGCTCCCAGTGGGTGACTTTTCATGAAAGGAAGTGTTGCTTCTTCCCATCACACCAAGGGTAAATGGGGCGGGTCGGCCGAGAGAGGAGGGGGGAGGGAGGGAGCAGGAAAGGGAGGGAGGGAGAGAGAGAGCGCGAGGAGGGTGCAGTCTGGCACTAGGTCTCTGACTGGCTCTGTGGCCTTGAACTAGTCACAGCCCAAGCCCGTCTCTGTACCGGGAGCATCTGAGAGCAAGTAGCTCATACTGCACCCCTGTGGCTGTTCATGGAGCACCTGTTCCCTGCCCCCACAGTGCTCTGGACAGTGAGACACAGAGGGGAGTGAGCAGGACAGGCAGACCTCAGATCTCCCCGTGGGGGGTGTGTGCACACACACACACTTGGCTGTGGTTTGGGAAGCCTTGTTTCTCACTTTGTTCTTAGAACATCAGGCGCATGGGGGTCTAGCGCACCCACCTGTGGATGGGGAAACAAGCAGTACCAAAGCAGTGGCTGACTTGGTGAAAGATGCACCTCTTTGGAGACAGAGCCCCTTCTTGCCCCAGTGGGTCTGCCTCTGCTGAGAAGCTGAAATCAGATGGGAGCGGGGCAGGAGAGCCTGGAAGGGGCTTGAGATAAGGAGCTTGGTGACTCCCTGCTTCCATTAAAAACCCTAGATCTCAGGGGTCAGAGCCTTGGGATAGTGGGATTGCACTGGTTCTGAATCCCAGCTTTGCCACTAGGAAGCTGGGATCCTTATATGTTGTATCTGTAAAAAGGGGGAGAGAGTATCCATTGGGTGGCTAGATTCTGTGAAGCAGTGTCCAAAAATGCCTAGTCCAAGGCTCACCAGGAGCACTGATTGGAGGTGGTGGAGTGTATAGTACGGAGAGGGAAGTAGGGAATGGCTTGAGAACAAGCAGCCTTTCGGGGAGTAGCCTCTTTTGGAGTTAGTTACTTAAACCAACCTCTTCACTGCTGTGGTTTTCGGACCTGGGTGTTAAGCTTGACTTCAACACAAGCCATGGAGTTAAACAGAAATCAGGTTCCCAATGCCAGAAGGGCCTTGGGCAGTCTCCCTGCCCAGCACTCTGCTGCCCCTCCTCACTGCCCGGTGAGACACTGGGTCACCAGGGCCCAGGGGCTCATATCCTGGCCCAACCAGCAGCCCCCTGCCCTCTCCCTAACAGTGGCAGGAGGAAACCTCAGGGGCTGTGGACCAAGTCCTACTGTAGGTTACCAAAGCTTTCTCACACTATTATCTAGCTGCACAAAACCTGAGGAATAAGCTCAACAGGAAACACACAGGGCCTTTAAGAAGGAACGTCTGAGGACAGCAAGAGGAGATCTGAATCTGTGGAGACGTGCAGTCCTGAAAAAGGAAGATGCCGTATCAGAAAGGTGTTACTTTTCTTCAAAGTAATTGCTAAATTTAAATGCAATTCAACCAAAACCCCAGTGGTTTGTTTTCTTTTTTTAAGGGAATGTGATAAAATTATCCTGAAGTTCAGAAAAAAATGATTTAAAAAGACTAATGATGGGGGACTTGTCCTCTGGATAGTAAGCTGTTTTACAATTAAAACAGTGTGCACCAGTGCCAGCCTGCCACGGTGAATGAAACAGAACAGAAAAGTCCAGAAACAGTTTCAAATATGTTCCTTATCAGCCTTTAGATTATGGGGAGAGTAGCATTTCAAATCATTGGGGGAAGGGAATCACTCAGTCTATATTGGGACCACCTCACCATTGGGGGGAAATATGATTAGATCCCTATCTCACACCTTATAGATTCCAGATGTGTTCAAAGTAAACAATGAAATAATCATCACCATTATTGTCATTATTGCTTCTTGGACGGAAAAAGCAAAATGGATCCACCTCCCCATTACAGTAGGGCATGGAAGGCTTTGTGGGCAAGAGCAGGAAAGGAACTCCGTGGCTCCTGGCAGCAGCATTCACTCCGGAGCAAGTGGGACTCTCCTGCCTCTTGTAGGCTGGATGTGGCTGGGAGCCTGGGATCGATGGTCCCTAAGCCGCTTCCCTCCCCTGCAGAGCCAGGAGAGCAGCCCAGCCCTGTGTTGGCTGCACTGGAAGGTGGGAGAGTTGGGAGCCTGGCAGGCAGGGGGGCCCTTCTGTTGCTTGTGGCAGGCGTCTCAGACTTAGTTTTCCTAGCAGAACCCTTTTCCAAATGAAGATTATCTGGAACCCTGGTCTACAAATGACTGGGGAAGGGAGGGTTTAGGGGAACCAGGGACAGAGGGCTTCCTGGAGAAAGGGGGGGCTCTCCCTCAGCTAAGGCTGTGGAAGCGGGGGGGCCAGGAGGCCCTGCCAGGGCAGAGAGCATGCTAGCTAGCCTGGTTGGGAGAGGAGGGAGGCTGAGTTCATTTGGGGACTCAGCTGGACACAGAGATAAAGAGACGTTTCCCTTTGTGGCTCTAGGCAAGAGCCTGAATCTTTTTCCTGTCTGGGGTTAAACAGCTCAGATTGGTGACCTCCTTTCCAGGTAATCTGAGTACCCGACTCCAGCAGGTTTCCCTCAGTGTGGCCCAGGCAGAGCTCACCGACTCTGGAACCAGGCAGAAGGGATAGAGGTCCTCAGGTCCAGTGGCTCTCAAACTGGCTGCCCTTTGAGATCTGCTGGGGAGCTTTAAACTCTGATGCCCCTTGCAGAACCTTAAATCAAACTGGGGCGGGGGGTGGGGGACACAGTGATCAGTGTCCTTAAAATGCTCCCTGGTGATTCTAATGGGCCCTGGTCCTACCACCTTATTCTTTGGAGGCCAAGGGTGCAACTTGCCAGGGGCACGTAGCAAGTTTGCAGGCAGGCTCCAGTGAGAAGCTGCTGTAACACCCCATGGAGGACTCAGGATGGAGCCAGTCCTTTGAAGCTGGGCCAGGGGGAACGAAGGCAGAGAGGGTGTGAAAACAGGGGGGGGGGGGGGGGGGGGCAAGGAGAAGAGCTGGGGGAAGCAGGTGCGCCCGCGACCCGGGAGACTTCACCAATTCGGGGGCAGTGAGCAAAGGACTCAAGGGTCTTTCTCCCATTTCGCGGAAGGGAAGACTGAGGCACAGAGTCACGAGAACTCAGGAAGAAAGGCGTCCGCCTGCTGGGTGGGGTGGGCGGATTCAGTTGTTAACGCTTAGTTATTTCTGGATATTGACCGTGTCTTGATTGGTCAGAAGCCAGCCTGAGAGGAAGGCCCGAGTGTCTTTCTTTTTGACAAGCTTTCGCATGGGTTTCTCCTCCAGGCTTATTTGGACTCTCCATCAAGGTTCCGCAAATCCTGGTGGTAACAATGGCAGCCACAGTGGTGGCCAGGCCCGGCCACTTGGCCTGGTGGTCAGACAGACCTCGTTTTGAGCCCGGGTCTCCTAGGAAGCCTCTATGGCTTCAGTTTCCGCCTCTTTTAACATGAGCTCCCTCCTGGGACTAAATAAGAGAGCATACGTGGAAGAGCCAGGGCCCCCACCCGGCAGGATCCAGGCGTCACAAGCCCTTGGGTGAGCAGCTACTGAAGGGGACGCCAGCCAGTGGCCAGAGGTTCTGGCCTCGGGGGGTCACGCTGGTCTGGGTTTATGGCTGTTATGGAGATGTTTTTTCTCTCTAGGACAGGAGGGGACTCTCACAGGTGCCAGCAGGAAGGATTTCCTGAGCTGGAGCAAACCAGGAGAATGGGACCATTCACACTAGGCTAACAAAAAGGAAAGGCAGGTTAGAAGGAAAGGAAGGGTGATCTGACGACATGGGCTCCGGAGCTCAGGTGCCCTGCCTGCCTGTCAGCGTGCCTGTTCCCCATTCCGGGGGTTTTTGCAGGTTTCTGCAGCCATCAGCTCATGGCTGCCCTTAGTAAAATCCAGCCCTGCCCCGTGCAGGTTGTTGGGAGACACGGTCCCTCTCCCTGAAACCTGGCAACCACTGTGCGGGGTGCTGGGAGGCCTCACTGAACCGGTGCGGTGGGCAGGACTGCTGTGCTCGGCTGGGGGCTGAGAAGGGCCGCCCAGAGGAAGTGGCTTGTCAGGTGAGACCTGAAGGGTTACCAGATCCTTGCAGGTGGGAGGAGTAAGTGGCCTCTTTAGGGGCAGTTAGAGCTCTGCAGGCACCCCTGGAAAGGTCTGATGTTTCATAACCGGGAGCTTCCAGTCTTCTCGATGATTCCTGGAGGATCCAAGCACCCGCCCTGGTGCCTCTGGACTCACAAACACGGGAACCTCAGCCGCTTTCCCAGTTCGGCTGAGGTGCTGTGAAAACGTTCTGCCTGAGTGTGGGGCAGGTTTCGGAGACAGGATTTCCCTGAGCACCACAGCCCCACCCTTCACCCTCCTCTGACTTGACCCCAGGGTGGTTTAGGGTTTCCCTCCCTCCCTCAACGTGGGGAGCTGACTGGAACAGAGGAAGGAACAGCAGCAAGCATGGGGCCCGGTTGGGGGTGAGCCCCGCAGAGAGGAGGGAGGGCAGAGTGGGCCACTAGCGGGAGCCCGTAGGTGCGTGTGGAGGGCCAGCCTGCGTGCAGTCAGGGACCAGGGGGCGGAAGGAAGAAGTCGCTTCCCACCTGGCAGGTTCTGATGGGGGACGGGAGGACCCTTCACCTCTCCTGGAGGACCTCTCCTCACTGCCTGTTCTTCAGGCCTGCATCTCAAGTGCTCTTTCTCTCTCTCCCTCCTCTATTCCCCTCCCCGTTGCTCCTCTGCTTGCAGCACCTCCTGTCAAAGCGAAAAGGAAACAGTCAGAGGAGGGTGATCCCCTAGACCCATCTGTGTCCCCCCAACCCGATGCTGAGCAGAGCAGAAGCCAGAGCCCTGTCCATCTGGAGGTGAGTTGGGCGACCCCTGGGGAGCCTCCTCCCTGCCCTCCCCCCCCCTGCACAGCCTCCCAGGTGAACTTGGGGACTCCCCAAGCTCTCAGGAGGGCGTGTTCCCTGCCCTCCAGCCTGCAGAGCCAGGAGAGGGGCCCAGCCCTGCGGTTTCGGGCCTGCATCAGGAGGTGTGGGAGCTGGGAGCCCCCGACAGGAGGACCTGCCCATTACCCCTGGCAGGGGTTTCAGACCTAGTTTTCCTAGCAGAACCCTTTTAGCAAACGATTTGCCTGGATCCCTGATGAATAAAACAGATAAAAGCACTCTTTTAGGACAAACCACACGTACATCCATGCATCCCTCCAAGTTCACAGCGTGGATATCAAAGTCACTGAGCGAGACCACTGAGGCCATTTTGGTGAGTGTAGTCTGAGAGGGAGCCATGGGTGACGTTGTGGAGCGTTGGCCTCAACATCCAACCCTTTTGGCCATTTGCTTTGGTGGCACAGTCTGGAGTAAGAATCCTGATCCACGTAGAAGAGTAGTTGCAGATGGTAACAGTTCTTTTTTTTTTTTTTTTTTAAAGATTTTATTTATTTGAGAGAGAAAATGAGAGAGAGAGAGCACATGAGGGGGGGAAGGTCAGAGGGAGAAGCAGGCTCCCTGCTGAGCAGGGAGCCCGATGCGGGACTCGATCCCAGGACTCCGGGATCATGACCTGAGCCGAAGGCAGTCGCTTAACCGACTGAGCCACCCAGGCGCCCCATGGTAACAGTTCTTAACAGCTTGCGTGGAAGAGTGGATTCACGGGAAGAGCGGCCGTGAGAGTGCCTTCCTTCTGAGGTCTGCACCAGACCAACTGCCGGGGTCCCCCCATAGGTTACGGTTTCTTAGGTGACTCATGAGTTCGTGTGCCATTTGTTATCAGGGGTCAGAAACACTGCAGTGGTACTTGAATATTTTGGGAAGACACGGCTCTCTGTATCGTTCCCGGCCCCGATGACTTACGTCCTTCCGGTGTTTGAGGCCTCCCCATCCAGGACCTGGGAGCTGTCTGTTCTCCAAGCCCTCGGTCTCAGCCCAACCATACCCCTCTGCCCTGAGCCACCAACCAAATGAATAGCCTTGGCAGAAAATGCCCCTCTGGAAGCAGAAACTGAAAGTCCTGCTCATCTGACAGTGGGGTGTCAGGAACCCGGGATGGGGCTTCGCCACCCTGGATGCAGCATGCAGACTGGCAGCTCAGAGAGGCAGCCCACCACCGCAAAGGCTCTGTGGACACACGACCCCGCAGTGCCAGAAAACACCAGGCTTTGACCACAGTCTGAGCCTGCCACCAGGAACTCACAGTCTGGTAGAGGAGCTGAGATGCAGATACAACAAATCTAGAGCAAGGTAGAGAGGCGGTCTGTGCCTGTAGAGAGCCCGGAGAAGCTGCGGGGCTGCTCCTATGGCCGTCTCTGGAGCCGGGCCCCTGTGGACCCTGACCATGGGTTCTGGGCACTAACAGCTGACAGCTGCACCTTTCTGATGCCACAAACAGGCACTCCAGCCCAGAGCTGTAAGCTGGGCGCCGGGGGCCTGCTCCTTCCTATGGGAGCCTGGGGTTGGGGGCCACACCCCTCCTCCCGCCCCAGCAGCCAGCCATTCCGCCTGTCCCCAGCCACCCACCAACTGGGGGCTCATCCCAACGCCTCCTGTTCTTTCCCCAGGACTCCCCCGAGGCAGGCGGGGAGCGGGAGGAGGACCAGGAGCGGGAGGAGGAACAGGCCTTCCTGGTCAGCCTCTACAAGTTCATGAAGGAGCGACACACGCCCATCGAGAGGGTGCCCCATCTTGGCTTCAAGCAGAGTGCGTCCCTGGGGCAGGCAGGGAGGGGGAGCCCGGCAGGGGATACCATCCAGGCAGGGTGTCGGGCAGGCATCTCCACTCTGGGCAGCCCTGGGCGATGCCAGCCCACAGGGGTTGCACACAGAAACGACGCCCCCCCCCCCCCCAGGTGCAGGGCTGCAGTGGGTGGGGCCGGATTTCTCTCCTCACCGGCCACCGGGCCCCCAGTGCTCAGGGCCTGGCCCAGCCATTCATTGCAGTGGCCCTGTCTGGGCATGTGCTGGTTCCGTGCCTGCCTGACAGGTCCACGGGAATGGGCTGCTGGCTGCCCCTTCCTCCCACAGAGACTGACAGGGGCCCTGCCCTCTCTCTTCTCCAGTTAACCTGTGGAAAATCTACAAAGCAGTGGAGAAGCTGGGGGCCTATGAGATGGTAAGGAGGGTACCTCTGAGTCCTCAGCATGTAGCATCCCACAGCCCATCCCCACTGTGTCCTGTGGGGACCCGGGGAGGAAGAGCCTTGTCTGGGGACAGAGCTGTCCTCACAGCCAGACAGGAAGGAAGAGACAGGGTCCCAAATCCTGCCGCTTCCGCAGCTCTCCTGCATGCTGTGGGGGAGAAGGCCTGCCTTGCCCGCTGGTACTTTGCTGCTCAAAGCAAGTTCTCCTGTCTTCCCTGTGCCCCCCCCCGTGCCCCCCATGCCGGGAAAGCTGCTGTGCGGGCAGTCAGGCGGCGGCCCCTGGGAGGGAGACCTGGCTAGCGGCCAGGGCAGCCCCCCGCCCCCCCCCCACCGCTGCTGGAGAAGCAGTTGCAAAACTGCAGTCCTTGCCCCCATCCCTGCCAAGTGGGGGCCTGGAGCTGCCAGGACGCCCCCCCACCAGGGGAGTGCACGCCGGTCGTGCCCTCACGCGGTGCCCTTGCAGGTGACGGGCCGCCGCCTCTGGAAGAACGTGTACGACGAGCTAGGGGGCAGCCCGGGCAGCACGAGCGCAGCCACGTGCACACGCCGCCACTACGAGAGGTACGGCTGGGCGGAGACCCCGGCTCCAGGACACCTTGGCCTTTGGCCCCGAGTGGGGCCTGGAGCGGGGTGCGGTGGGCACACACCAGGAGCTGCCTGAGCGGCGTGCGCTGTGCTCATCCCAGGCCAGAGCTCTGCACGGCGGCCGGCAGGGGTGTCCCCGGGGCGGGGAGGCCAGGTGGACCCAGACGGCGGGGAGATGTGGTGCGTGCCTGCCAGGCCGGCCTCCTGGTAGACACGCTGGCCTCCTCCTCAGGCTGGTGCTCCCGTATGTGCGGCATCTGAAGGGGGAGGACGACAAGCCGCTGCCCCCCTCCAAGCCCAGGAAGCAGTACAAGATGGCCAAGGAGCCCCGGGGGGATGACGGGGCCCCTGAGAAGCCGAAGAAGGCCAAGGAGGAGAAGCGGTTGGACCAGGTAAACCCTGAGCCCGCCTGGGGCCACCAGCGGACGCTGGGCCTCCCTCTCCCCGCCCAGGCCATGGCTGCAGAGCTCCCTGCCCAGGGATACCCAGAACCTGCTCTGAGGGCAGATCCGGGGTGGGGGCAGGGGGGCCTCCGGGGCAATGGTTGTGCAAGTTCAAATGAGGGGCCACGTAAGGTCTGAACTCCAGTCTGCACCTCGGTCACCAGGCCCCGTGTCCTGATGCCAGGCTGTGTCTGTTCAGAGGCCAGGATGCCTTTGGGGACCTTCTCACAGAGGCTCCTGGGTATGCCTCTGCACCACTGCTGCCACGGGGGTCGTGTCCCGTGCCCCCCCGCCCCGCCCCCAGTCAGGGCACACGGCTCACAGCCAGCCCTGAGGCACGGCCTTTTCTCCTTCTAGATGGTGCCTGGAAAGACGAAAACAGACGCTGCCCCTGACCTGGCGCGGCTTCCCAGCCAGGAGCCCCCCCGGGAGGGCCCGGAACAGCCAGGCCCGGCCCTGGGGCCCTCTCTGCCCTTCGTGGGTGCTGGAGGCTGTCCTGAGGCCTACAAGCGGCTCCTGGCCACCTTCTACTGCAAAGGAGCCCACGGCATCATGTCTCCACTGGCCAAAAAGAAGCTCCTGGCCCAGGTGAGCAAGGCAGAGGCCTTGCAGTGCCAGGAGGAGGGCTGTCGCCATGGGGCAGGCAGCCCCCATGGGGAGCCCCAGGCATCCCCGGCTGTTCTCGTCCCAGAAAGTCCGCAGAGCCCGGGAAAGCCAGCGGAGAACTCCAGGCACCGGCTGACCCCTCAGGAGGGATTACAGGCCCCAGGTGGCAGCCTCAGGGAGGAGGCTCAAGCGGGTCCCTGCCTGCCGGCCCCCATCTTCACTGGCTGTTTCCATGCGTACCCCACTGAGGTGCTGAAGCCTGTCAGCCAGCACCCCCGGGACTTCTTGCCCAGTTTTAAAGATGGGGTGCTCTTGGGGCCTCCTGGCAAAGAGGAGGGCCTGGCGGTGAAGGAGCCCCAGCTGGTGTGGGGCGGGGACGCCAACCGCCTGTCTGCATTCCATAAAGGCAGCTCTAGAAGGGGCAGCCCCTACCCCAAGCCCAAAGCCTGCTGGGTGTCCCCCATGGCCAAGGTCCCTGCCGAGAGCCCTGCTCCCCTCACTACCTTCCCTAGCAGCCCAGGCCTGAGCAAGAAGCGCAGCCTGGAAGAAGAGGGCTTGGCCCATGGTGGCAAAAAACTGCGGGCCGTGTCTCCCTTTCTTAAGGAGGTGGACACCAAGGAGTGTGGGGCCAAATCCATGGGGTCTGGCTTGGCCGTGTCCTGCCTGCTGGGCCCAGCGCTGGGGCCTGCCCTCCCCGAGGCCTATAGGGGAACCATGCTGCGTTGCCCGCTGAACTTTGCTGGCACTCCGGACCACTTAAAGGGCCAGGCCACGCTCCCCTTCAGCCCCCTGGTCATCCCTGCCTTGCCGGCCCACTTCCTGGCCACAACAGCGCCCTCCCCCGTGGCCACGGGTCTGATGCACTTCCCCCCGGCGTCCTTCGACAGCACCCTTCGCCACAGACTTTGCCCAGCCTCGTCTGCATGGCACGTGCCACCTGCCACAACCTACGCAGCACCCCACTTCTTCCACCTCAACACCAAGCTTTAGGTCCGAGCCCGCAGTGCTGTGCTGTGCTGTGCAGGGTCTGAAATGGCCTGCGCTGGGGAGGCACTGCCCGGGGTCTGGGCTGGAGCCTGGTCCCCAGGAGAGCTTGGCTGTGCGCAATGCAGGAACGTGCCCCTGTCTGGGCAGCCTGGCACAAAGAGGGAGGCCGTGGGAAAACCAGGTTTGTCTCAAGGAAGCAGCCTAAGCCCGGGGCCTCAGTTGTTGTGGGGCCTCGGGAGAAGACAGTGCTTGGCTGGCAGCCCCCAGCTAGGTCCCCAGAGTGGAAGCCAGGAACGTGCTGAAGGGCTGAAGCGCTGGGTAGCAGCTTGAGGTATCCAGGCTGCCCATGGAAAATCCAATAAAAGACGAACGTGAATCCACCTGGCCCTGAGGTGTGCATGGTGCGGACCTTCCCAGGGGTAGGGGAGGCTGGGGCGTGCTCATGGCTGGGGGAGCCAAAGAGAGAGAGACCTACGAGCATCCACTCAGATCTGAAATACCCCCACCGAAGAGAGGGACCCAAAGCAGAACTCAGCCTCCTGTTCATACTTCAGCGGGTGGTGACCTTCGTCCTGTGCCTTCTACCCACTTTCATAGGAGAGTCTCTGCACAGCTGCCTGTTACCTTCCTCATTATACAGGTGGGGGTCTGACATTCAGAGAGGGCTGGCGACTTGCCCTTGTTCCCCCAGCAAGGAAGTGACAGCAGAGTTAGGCTCTTGGGTGTGACTCCAGTATCCAGAGCAAAGCCACAGGTCCCTGGTGAACTGTAGGATGAGCCTGCAGCTGTTAGCAGCCCCCCCTGGGGGCAGAGGGGGTGAGCAGGGAACCTCACTTGGTCTGTCTTGGTGATGGACTCACAGGGCTTGCTGCTGATTCATCCCAAAGCCCCCATCCCACTCCCCCTTGCGTGCTGCACAGAGATGGACCAGGAGGTTCCCGGCGGGGGGAGGCGCCAAGAGGTAAAGGGGAGTGAAGCAGCCAGGATCTTGGCCTGGGCATCTGCGTTCTCAGCCACGGTTGCTCTGGGGGCTCAAACCCTGCAGCCTAACACCCTCCTTCCTAAAGGCTCTGTTTGGGGAGCAGGGGGGCCATCTGTCTCAGTAGGAGGGAGGGAGGGCCCCTTTCCGAGGCTTCCCTCCCCTCCCCAGGCTGCCTGTTCTCCCTGCCAGGCGCCACAGCCTGAGGCAGTCTGATGGATACAGGGGTAGTAGGTGTGGGGCCAGGCCCCCAACTGGCAGCCTCAGATTGGTCAGCAGTGGCCTTTGACCTCCCCAGCTGGAACTTGCCCTGCCTCCTAGGACACTCCGGAGCTCAAGCCATGGGAGGGGCAATCTATGTGAAGACAGCACCCCCCCCCCCGCCCTACACAGTTAACGGGTGAATAGGCTGAGCCAGGGATGGGCTCTGTTTGCCCAATGCCACCACTGAGTAGGACAGAACCCGGACCAGGGCACACACAACATATCTAGCACCAGGGGGTGGGCTACCCAGGCTAAAGGCATTCCATTGAGCCGCCTCTTGCCTCCAGCCTCCGATTCTGGAAGCTGCCTGTGGAGCGGGAGCTCAGATGGGGCACAGGCTGGGGCCAGTGATGGGGTAGCCAGAGGGTGGCAGTCACCGTTCTTGGCTCTGCAGAGGGTCTCCCAATTCCCCAACTCCCTCCTGGGCAATGCCAGATTGCAGCCCGAGTAGCTACCTGACCCCTAGTCTCAAGCCCCCGGTTTCCACACACACTCGCATGCTGCCCATCTCTGCAGGCTTCTGGAGTGGCAGACAATTGGAGTGGGAGGGCTGAATTCTGCCACCCTCCCTGCAAGCGCCCTGGGTGCAGGGCCACAGGCTATGGGGTCAGATCCCCCTGGGGAAGGGGGAGGGGAGGGCTACTTGTGTGCAGGGTCCCGCCTGAGATGGGGCAGGATCGCTGGGGTCCCTTCCATCTGCAAAGCCACAGCGGCCTCGCTCTGGCACAGAGGTGGGAGGTGCGCGCCTGGCGGCAGAACTTGGGTACCGAAGGGTCAGAGATGTGATGGTGGTGCCCTCTGGAGGCTACTCCAGGGACTACACCTTTCCTTGAGAGGCGGCCCTGGCCAAAGCTGGTCCTTGGGCAGGAGGCCGCCACCTTTGCTGGGGTGTCAATAAATCCCTAGAACTTAATGTGGGCATGCTTCTTGGAACACTTCTGTGCCCTGCGTTTCCCATGTGTCGCTTTACGTCATTTTCCTCACTCGCCGGGAAGGGACCATCCTGATTTACAAAGGAGGAAACAGCTCTGAGAGCTCAGTTAGCTTCAGCCGCGGCTGCAGGGAGTGCCCGACTCCCTGCAAGGGCACCGTGCACCTGCTTCCATCTAAATGGACAGGTGCGCTTCAGGTCGTCTTGCTTTTCACACTCACCCCTTTGCCTTCCTGCTGGGTCCTGACTCTGCCCTGGGGACTGGCCAGAACCTACGTTTGGGGCATAAACCAGATTGCGGGGCCGTGGCATTCAAGCTGTTGAGGGTGGCGGTGAGGGCGGGCTTTGGCAGCACGTGTACCAAGATCGGAATGAGGGCGTCGGTAACTGGGGCGACTCTGGAAGGGACATCCCTACAATCCCCACCCCTTTGCCTGGTGACAGTTCAAGTAGAATGCCATGTGTCAGGCATTTGACAGACACTGAGCGTCTATTCCTAGCAGGTGCCAGGCACTGTTTTACGTGTTGGGATGGACACCTCAGTGGACAAAACATCCACGCCCCTGCCTTCATGTTGCTGACATTCGACGGGGGGAGTAGAATGACTGAAATACAGAGGAGTGCAGCACTAGGGAGAAAAACAGGGCTGGGAGTGGAATATACAGTTTGTTTTTGTGGTAAAATATAACTTAGCATAATATTTACCATTTGAACCATTTTTAAGGGTACAATTCAGCGGCATTGACAGCATTCACAGTGTTGGGCTGCCGTCACTACCATGCATGTCCAGGGTGCAGAGTTTAAACAGAGTGGCCAGGAGGTCTCAGTAGAAGGTGGCGTCTGAGCAATGGCTAGAGGAGGTGACAGAGAGAGCCATGCAGCTCCTGCGGGGAGAGCAGAAGGACCGGGGATGACAAAGGCCTTGGGTGGGAGTGGGCACGTGTGTCTGAGGAACTAGAAGTCCTACAGGGTTGGAGCAGGGGGAGCTGGGGGAGAGATGGGGTTCGACAGGTGCTGAGGCTGGATGTGTGGAGCCTTCTGGGTCCCAGAGTGAGCTGGAGCAGAGGAGGGTCCTGGTCTCTGGTGCTCACAAGAGGCCTGTGGTTTCTGGGGGGGACTCGGTGCTGGGGGATGGGGGTGGCGGGGAGCCCATCCACAGAGACACAGGCAGCATGCCTGAGCGCAGGTCTGGAGTGGGGGGGGGGACATGGACACTTCTAGTGCGTGCTGTCGTTCTCCCAGGGAGCTCTGGGCACTGGGGCACTGGGGGTGGGAGGTCTGAGGAGGGAGAAGGGCAGCTAGAGATCTCCAGGAGAGTGGGCAAGGTTGCACAGGGCAGGGCCATGGGGCTTCTGGAAAGTCCCAATTCCCGTGCAAAGAGGCTAGTGGCAGGAGTGTCTGTGGTCTCCCTGCCACCTGGGGCCCCTGGCTGCAGAGCTGGGGGTTGGAGTGGGAGGCGCTGGGTCCCGCAGGAGTGGGAGCTGCCATGATGTGGGGGCCCCAGAGTGGAAGTCGGGGGGACGAGTGAGGGACCCGGGACGGGTGGGACCAATGGACCATAGACCCTAATGGCTTCAGAGGGAGGATGATGGGGCGGCTAAAACTATTGTGTTGCTGGGTGAGTTGGTGGGAACATGCACGGGGGTTGGGGGGGGAAGCTCTGAAATCAGCACAAGAGCACAGCAGTGGTTTGGGGCAAGGCCCACCTCTGGGTCTTCGGATGGAGAACTGAGGATAGGGAGGAGGGACTGCAGCAAGGACCTTACCAGGGTCTCCTGGCATGACCTTCACAGTGGGGAGCCACAGGGTCTGGAAGCAGGGGCTCGCTCAGCACCCTCAGGGCAGTGTGAAGTGTCCCACCCTGGAGGTGGCGGCAGGGGAGCATCTCAGGGTGGGCACGGCCCCGGCTGGCAGGGGAACCCCCCAGGGAAGAGATTTCCATTTCAGCTGAAGACCAGGGGCTGCCTGCAGATAGTGGCCTGAGATGTGTTTAGTTTATTTGACCCCTGTAATTTAAATAAATGTTTTTGTAACTAGTTGCCAGCGTTTAAAAATCAAGAGATTTCACATCAAATTTTGGATATCGGGCTTCTCTTTAAAAAAACTAGAATTTCTGGCCGCATGAGACCATTTCCTAGAGCTCGGTAGTGGCCGCTGCCTGGTGGACAGGGTATACCTGCTCATTCACTACAGTTCCCCCAGGCCCGCTTGTCCTCAACCCCAAGGGACCCAGCCCCAGCCAGGCCCCCTGTCCATCCCAGGCTCACTGTTCCCACCATTCAAGCCAAAGTCCTGCTGCTGCGTGGCCACTAGGCGGCAGCTCTCGTTCTTTGTCATCCCAAGATGAGTTTCCTAAGTCAGTGACTCCAAGAAGGTTGCTGCTGGGAAACTCAGCGGGGCTTCCAGATGAGACGGCAGGGCAGAGTCAGGTTGTTGCCCTGTCTGCTGTGCACGTCCCCCGGTGCACGGGCCAGCAGGGACAGGCCATGGCGGGCTGGACAGGGCGTGGGACCCCATCCTGCCCACCTCCTGAGCTATCCAAAGCCTTTGCCTCTCCCTGGGCCACATCTGTGCACTTGTGAAATGAGTACAGTCACTTCCAGGTTCTGCTCTGTGACCCAGAATGAGATGCAGATAGGGTCTATGGACTGATGAAAGGCCAGTGACCGCCCCACCTTGAACACACTCCTGGTTCCGAGAGGACCTTCCCAGCATCTCGGGGCCCCTGGCTACTCTTGGAAAGTGCACGGCAAGTGTCAGCCGCTGCCCAGCCTGGTTATGAGCCGCCGCCCCCCCCCCCCCCCCCGCCAACCCGCAGGGAGGGAAGGGGCCGCTGAAGGGAACAGGGAGAAGGGGCTCTGGGCAGGGGTCTTAGAAGGGTGGCTGAACCACCAGCCCCACCCCCACCCCCACCCCTCCCTGCAGGACGCTTCCAGCCCTCTCCAGGGTTCCTGCTCAGCTTTGTCATCCCTCCCACCCCTTGAGGGAGCAGCAGGGTGGGGGGAAAGATCGAGGAGCTGGAAGCCAGAACACAAGCCAAATGCTCGTGGCCCTGGAGAGGAGCAGCCCTGAGACTGATGCCCCCACAGGTTCAATGAGGGTTCTTAGGCCCTTTAGACTTGCAAGCAACAGCAAGAAACTCCCACCCAGGCTGGAAAGAGCCTGTGGGACTCACAGACCCCAGGGAGAGCTGAACAACCACACAT